ATTATGATTATTCGGTTGGATAAGTGTAATCTACCTAGAGTTCCATTGTCTTATATACGTCTATAAGTAAATACATGTTTACAGAAGGATAATGTTCATATATTGGTGGAGTTTTAGATTGTGAAGATTAATAGATGCGTTTGGTTTTGTTCTTTTAACCCTTTTTGACATGATGAAGAGAGGGCAGCATCAGGGCAGCACCAGGGCAACATCAGGGCAAACCCAGGGCAAGAACATGTTAAGGCCATGTGATTTGAGTAGCACTTGACAGGTTTCTAATCCAAGAGCTCTGTCGACAAGCTTTTGTTTGATCAAAGGACGCATCAAGATCGCATCATCATGCATAAAGTCTTAGTCAGTATCATATAGATATAAAAGATTACTTAAAATCCGCTCCCCATACCGTCTCCTCAAATAACACCAATAACACTCGAAATGTTTCGAACCCAGTCACGTTATCTCGAATTAATCGCAAAAGAAATCCCATTATTTTATATTTAAAATCCAAATCAATTTTTTCCCAGTCGAGAAATTTTATTTTTAAAATGAACAGACATTTTAAAAGGATCGTTAAATAATTCAAATGTAAGTGATACACGGGTTGTATAAAACCAATAAATAAATAATTCATAATCTCTAAACATGTATTCAAGCGCGAAGTCATGGATGAATTTCTTTAACACTAACATGTATTGAATCCGCCCAGTTCAGTGATGTATTGTACACACCAAACAATACGTACATGACTGCTTGTGATTCCGCGTCGAGAGCTAGCTATTGATAGTATGGGCGTTTAGACCCAATATAAAGACTTGGAGATCATAACTGGGGTTGCTGTGTTTTCATACAACTATAAGTAGTGTTTGTGGAGTGTGTAACTCATTAAATAGTTTACGATTTTAATACATTATTTGAAAAATTAATAACTACCCCATTCTATTTTAAGTCACACATGGCCGACCGCAGAGACATCTTCGATCGCGCGGAAAATGACAGTGCGCTATGACTTAATTGATTTATGAAAATCATAAAAGAATGAAATTGAAATGTATTAACCTTGTTCTTTAAAATGAAACTATTTCTGATATCCAAATCATCGGTTTCTCTTAAAGCCCTTCTGACTGTAGCATTAAAATTAACATAGTATGCCAGCTTGCAAACCCCCCTCATAAAATCCTGTTAGCAATGAAATATTCTTCAAAGGGAATTTTACAGAATGTATTAATACTAGGCTTGTGATCTAATTATGTGGGTGAAGACATTAAAGATTGTCTCTTAGCTAGAAATCGGACCGAGGATGGAAAGATGCTTGTTGAATTAAAGGACTTGGGGGATGGCTATCTTGTTGAGATGCTGATAGAGACTGACCGCTCGTAAACTATGAGCGAGGGGTATTTAGTTTAATGATTGATCTCAGAGAGAGAGAGAGAGAGAGAGAGAGAGAGAGAGAGAGAGAGAGAGAGAGAGAGAGAGAGAGAGAGAGAGAGAGAGAGAGAGAGAGAGAGAGAGAGAGAGAGAGAGAGAGAGAGAGAGAGAGAGAGAGAGACTATTGACAACTGACAGGCAGTGACAATGTGAGTTGTGCATTGTTTATCTACTTAAATCAGCCAAATTGCATTTGCAGATTCAGTCAATGTGTTTATTGTCGAGTACCAATCTGTGTAAACCTGTTGCAGAAACAATATGTTGCTGCTTTGTGTGTTACTTGCCTAACAGAATGAAGAGAGAATGAGTCACATGTAAACATTAAGTGACTCTCTCATGCAATTGTCACAATAAACAAAACATCTGCGGCCATGTGATTACACTTGTTGTAAGTCCAAAAACGGAACAAAGGTACTACGGAACTTGCAGTTGCAATTGTAGAAATTCGAAGAACTTATTAACATGTGTTCTTGTCAACAAATATCTGTATATACCTTTGTATCTGTACTGATTACTCATAAAAGAAACAAAGAGAATAATCCCTTTGCATATATGAACTCCCATAGTATCGATTATCAATCGATTATCAATCGCATATATGTTGAACTTATTCAATTTCGGGGCAACACTACCATTACATTAATGGTAATTATAGAACAGTGTGTTAACTGTGTATTGCCTCTTTGAATTCATAGTCAGGTAATAACAAAAAGATTGAACTTGAAGTTAATTTATTAAAAATTCACAAAATTTATTTGTTTGTAGAAAAACTTTCTTCTTAAAAAACAAGATACATTTGAATAATAAACCTGTGAGCGCCACGAGAAAATAATTCAAAATATTTAATCTGTTTCTGATACAATTTATTTAGTGCAATCAATGATGTTTCGGCTGTTAGCACCACGTCTGAGGCGTGTTGTGTGTCTCAGTTCGAGCTTGTCAGAAGCATGCAAAATATGGAGGGTGCGATATGAAATCATTAAATCAAGAATGCAATTACTTATAAAACAGTCTCACAACAGCTTGTCATAATTTCCTTAATGGATAATACATGTGTAAAATCGATATATGGAACAGAAGGATATTTTATGAATCAATATTTCCCGTATGTGTAAATCGCACTCAATGTAAGTGTCTTTTAAACATTGATATGCACGTGTCTGTGTCTTGCTATTTTGATGCAATTAAATATCATTTAATAACCATCCCCACATCTACATGATTAGAACCGTTGTGCTTTGTAATCTCAATATGAATATTGCTTGCTTTTCAATCAGAATGTGGTTCCAGTTTGAAATGGACATATCGAAATATACAACCTTCAAAGTGAAATGAACATCCTTTTTTAGTTATATACATAATTCGTGACAACAGACAATGATATTGATTAGTTCTGTATGCGAATTGCGCGCAATATCAAGTTCAAATATACATTGGAAGTGGTACTTTGGTGTTAATGTAGCCAATATACTTTACAAATATATTGTAAGAAATGAACAATATACGAGCATTTATATTATTGAGTTGTTAAATGTCTAAAGGGTTCTTAATATTAGTCTCATAATGGAATTTACATTGTGAATAACAAACAAAACTCTTTTAACTGGGATGCATATTTCATGAAATGTACACCTTTGTACAACTGGAGTACATCTCCGTGAGCCGACAGGACAGAAATGCACATCTTTAGATGTAAACACCCACCGACATTAACTAGAGAGGATGTACATCTGTGCAAGGGGGATACATTTAAGACTACGTCGACTAGCTGGTCCTTAAGGAGTTCACGACGCATGTGACAAAATCACACGCGTGAAATATGTTCGTTGTAGTTGGGATTAGCTATGTAAGTTTTCAATCCCTCATGAATACTGAAAAACACCTTTTAGAAAACCTATCAAGCGGGTTGTATGTACTTGTTAAATATCAATGACAGATGTTGGTGCTGAGCTATATGATACGTTGTACAATGGACGGCATATTTACATATTTATTACACTAACTGTAATTAAGACTTGAATTCTATAACGTTGATTTGTTATGTGTGGGTTAGATTTATGTGTCTCTTAGCTGTTGTTGTCAACTATGCGCATAATTCACCCATTCACTGTCTCACCATTGAATGTGGCAGGAATTGTCAAGACAATTAAGCATTATTTGACGTTGAAATGTAACACACATTTTGCTTTGAGATATGCAGATGAAAAGAGGTTTGGATAAAAACAACCAATTGAAAATAACGATTTATATATTCATAATTCCTTCAATATTTATTAATACTTACAAAAAACTGTTTGCTTTTGTGTGTGTCATTATCAGTATGACACTTATTTCGTGTTGATATTGATACAAACATCAATAATCAATATTGCCAGTCTTCTCAAGCAATACCTGCAAACAATTATACAGTTGATAATCAGTAAAGATTATCGCATATCTGATAACTAGACAAAGACGGTGAGGATGAGGGTGCTTTTGTTTATGAATGTGTTACATCACTCTGATCATAGATAAAGGTTGGTGTTGATGACAGTTTGCATTTGACTTATTCGCTGATGTCGACTGATAATAGAACAAAGGAACAGTTGTCTATTTCAAATGTCATAAAAGCGCAGCAAATATAATAATTATTCTACTTATTTATGAATCAGTGATACACAAATACAAGTTCAAAAGAAATATTCATTTTGCTGTTTTAATCAATCATCATTTGTATCATTCATTTGACTGAACTACGGAAATAATTATTTATTAATTACTGAACGTATTTCATGTATATTGCACTATCCTGCGTGTACATTGCAGAGTAATTTGTGTATATTGCAAATAACGACACAGACGTTTCAGCGATGTTCATATCTGGATACTATCTTAGATAAAAGTAATTCATCAGCAAACAAATCCCTGTTGCATTTTTATCATATTTGACATGGCTATCTTATCTCGGCGCGGTATAAACAAATACCATTCGTCTTAAGTCGAATTAATTGTCTGATTAGCCGTGAAATGTACTCGAGGACGTGTTTGTTGGTACACATCATAGCTTTAGATATGGCAATTAATACGTCTATCTTGACGACTGGTTATTATTATGTAATATTTTCTAATACAATTACATCAGAGCACATTGCACTAATTGGACAACACATTTCAGGGCTCTTGACATAGCTTTCATTGATGTCGTATTGTGTCAAGCATATGTCAACACCCATCAAGGCTGATGTTTATTTCAATCAACTTTGATTTATATTGATATATTTCTTTTAAAAAAGTCATGTAATGCTTTGTTTATAAATAACAAATCAAACACGAACATGTTTTTTTGTTTCGCGATGGGAGATGTCGTGACCCGCTTTACATACTCATTTATGCATGTAAATAGCAGTTTGAAATGAACATATATCTATTTCACAGTTGATACACATGAACTACTTAACGGCGTGGTACTACGCAGCGAAATAACAGAATGACACTGTCAATCAAAACAAATAGATTAGCCAAGCTGGGAAACACAGAGATAGCGTTATGTCCACACGAAACAACGAAACAACAGGGAAACATCCACAAGTACTCACCTTGAGTTGGTACAGTCGTCATATAAAATATCAAACTCCTTGCACGAGATAAGTTTGCATCGGTTAACCCCTGGTTGGATTGCTCCAAGTCCTCGTAGGATTCGAACCTGCTCCACATTGCAAACAACAGGGGTTATGTCCAAGCGTTTCAGTTTGGTGTACACAGTATGGAGCCCTCCAACGAGGTGTTTGAGGAAAAGTTCAAAAGCTTGGGGTAGACATATCAACTCACGGCCGTCTACCATAAATGCTGCAACTTTCGCCCCACGGTATTCGATCAATTTACACACATTGTTTTCGGGGTGGCAGGCTACCGGTGGGGGAGAACTGTACGTCCCTGGTTTCTGTAGCTTGCTCATCAAATTCAGGGGGTTGTGTCCACTGGGTGTGAGCCCGGGGGTAGGGCTAGGCTGGGTGGTCATTTGATGGGGTAAGACATGGCTTGGGGACTCCATCGCGATCATAAGCAAAACGTCCTCACCACGAGTGAAGCAAGGGGGATTCCACACTATGATAAATACAATTGTATTTATGCCTGTGCCGGGGCCAGCGTCTAAGCCACGCCCATCCGGCGAGCTTTCCTCTCAACGCGCGGCTTAGCTGTCAATCACGCTTACCGTCACACTCTCAAGTCGCGCTATTTCCACAAATCGTAAATGCTATGTTCCTGAGTGCTTCTTGTCCGGCTTATCGTTGTATTGTTGTTGATATTTATTAAAGGTACAGAGTGAAATCGTGTGAAATGCATGATTAAAGCTTGTGGTTCACTAACGATGTGTTTTGGGGAGAACTGTATTAAATATCGACCCGCATTGGCCGCTTAACCCTGAAATGTGTTACCCGGCCCACCGAAAAATATGTTGTCGTTTGTTGTCATTTTCACGAGTTCATTTTATCTCCTTTCCCGTCGGTTCTCAGGAAACGGGTTCACGTTTCTTGGATTTTGTTAAACGTTTATCAATAAAAATTTAACTTTGCACCTTCTAGCTTCAACCTCGTCCTTGGCGAATTCGACAGCTGTTCTTGTCGGAAACTGATACCCACCAAATCGAAGGTATGACAGGGGCTGGCTTGAATTGTTGTACATATCACCTTCGTCCTACAGACGGTTCTCAGTTCAACGTTATTATTTGCATCCATGAAATAGACTGCCATGTCGATTCGTCATTGTTACAAAAAACAATTTGCAAAAATATCAAATACCGTTTAAACCATTGATTAAAGTATAACAGTTGAAACTCATGCACAATTAGAATCCTGTTGCGTGTGGCCATGAGTGTCCAGACATATTAAATATAATATCTGTTAAATTGTATTAAATGTCTATAGTTCCCATTTACATTAAATTCAATCTCCATGTCATTTAAACAAAATACAAAAATCCACCAGTTGCACAGAACATTAACCAAATTCAATACGTATATGTGAATTAATCATAAACATATATGATTCATACCTTGATCTAGACATAAAATCTATCACAGTGCAAAAGGTTTAACAAGTTTTATAAAACTGTGTTTCTAGTCAAGTGTGAATTATGGAAAAGTATGTAAATGTTATTATTAATATAATCAATCCTTCCCTTTTAACAGGATCAATTGTTCTTTTACTTTGGTATAATCAGTTGTTTTCTTTTAAGTTAATCAATGTTTTTGCCTCTTAATACAAGTAATACTTGTTCTTTTCACATGGTCAATTTTTCGCATTTAGTTTATCAATGTTGTTCTCTTTCATTTTGATGACGTTTTTGTGTTTCAAGCTAAAATGTTCTCTTTAATGTCAATCGATTGTGTTTCTCTTTTGATATACTAGTAAGTAATTTTTGTTTTCTTTTAATATAACGCTTCCTCCTGCCGCACCGTAGCTCAGTGTTTGCACGAAGTCTGTCACAAACAATTATGTAATAGTTTGTTTTCTCTCGTGTTTGCTGCAGACCAACTCCGAGATGTTGAACTAGGTTCCCTGAGTCTAAGCCGGCCTTTAGGCACAACCATCTTATTAGTTGATTACATGCCAAAATTATACGTTGAATAAAACCCAAACTTACTGAAAATCGCGAAATTTGATGAAACAATACTGCCTATTGATTTCTTCGCCCTCGCTGTTCACAACGACAAACTGGTTCAATGTCCCTGCAGTTTCGTTGAAACAGTTTTAGCAGTTTCCAAGATGTTCGGGTAAGGTTTTAAAAGTTGTTAGACGCCAAGGGGCTATAAAGACACAATTAAATCATTTAGAATTACAATGGTTTGAAAAATGTCTGAATCCTGTCTGAATTTTTATTCTCATGACATTTCTGACAAACTGATTTCGAGGCAGCAACATTCTAGCGAAATTATCAAAATATTTAAGAAACGTGTACATTTCATGTTGATTTCAAGGCTGTATAAACTTAGATCTTGACAGATTGTCTCAAAACACGAGTCAAAAAGGAAAACATTTGGTTAATCGATCTGCAAATACAAGTCTCGATTTCCTACACTAGCTTAATGCTGTAAAGCTTGCGACATTAGCGCGATGCAAGGTTTTCTCTCAAGCGCCAGCTATCACGAATTAAGATATTGTTAATCTAACTTTGCAATCTGTTGCAGAGTGGAAAAATTATCGAGCTAAATGACTGATCCCGAAGCGACATCGGGAAATTCCGGAGTTTCCCGAGCAACCGGTCCCTCTTTAATCCAGCGTCGCGTCAGGACACAGAGAAATGGTCAAACGATCGATAATCAAATTGTTGTATCTTGTTTTCGAGAAGGGTTACATCACCTGTCATGCAAAACAGCATAAACCCGATTTATATTTGAGGTGAAGATAACTTTCCTGGCATGCATTTCGTGACACGCGTGTTTGACATTTGAAGGACAGGAAATGCACGTGAAATTGATTACCGTTTACACAGCAGATTAATCTTCCCCTTATGTGCCCAGTTATTGTGTAAGCTTCTTTTTACTAGTGACATTTATCCACTTCGTGCTAACTACGTTGTATAACGCTATCCTATTAAAACCAAAAAATAAATATATAATAAAATATATGCATGCTGTACTTGAATGAGTGGCGGGTGTCTCTGGTAGTGGAGAGCCTGCTTACCCTTTTCGCGACCAAGTGGTGTCTTCAATAACTTTCAGTGATCCATTTGTATACATTTCACCACTATTGTGGGATAGTTTTGGCAGATAGATGAGGCTGATTATTCTCTGACTTTCGAATAAAAACAATATAAAAAACTGTTCATTTCCTGCGGTTTTGAATGATAAATTCAACTTTAAAAGATTCAATTGAAACTCTTTCTAAATCCGGTATAAGCTGTTAAAAATATATTAATCGCAATGCGCACTCAATTACAAGTACGTGTGTTTAATCATTCCAGTGTTAAAAATCATTTCCCGACACATTAAGAAGTTGAATGTAAAATCAGTGACACAGGCACACAGACACTTCCCCTGGAATATTGAAATTTATCACATCCCAGACTCCGAAACTACTTTTTGTGATGTTCGTAAACAATTCATCAACATACCGAGTCTGTTTGACCTGTTGCTCCTCCAGCTACCTCCGTATCCCCCATCATCTCCGATGAAGAAACGTTTTTAAACGTATATAACAATTCTGATACATTTTATTACAGATATGTTTTAAACTTTACATGTCACTAAGTCACAGTTAGTTTTTATACAGTTTTAGGGCACTGTAAAGGTGGCAAGGTGTTTGAAAATTTTGACACATGACAGTTTTTATCAAGATTTTGGATGAAGATAAGGATGATAGTGACACTCTGCCTTATGAGATCACAAGAATCGGTCGAAATCTATTGAACCAATTTCTATTAGGATGTATAGATACGTAGGCATGGTTCAACATCCCAGAACCAGCTTCTTTGAAAATGAATCCATATAAGATTATCGTTTTCTCAGAATTAAGTAAATGTACCCCCTCCACCCATCATAAAACAATAAGTACATAAACAGCATTGCAGCTGAGGTCAAGGTCCGAGTGTCCTGGTCAAGCCTGCTAAGTTTAAAGAATCTGCTATGTGCAGTGGAAGTTTAAGATGAAAGAAATAACGGTGAAACTGTCTTTATACAATACATAAGCGTCCGCTGTACAGATCAATAAACATATTTTATATAATTTAAACATATACTTTCCATTTCTAAATCAAAACTGTTTTATAAAACAGCCGTCTCAAATGGCATATAGTGCTCGTTCCTTTATCGCCATACATGTATCATACCTTAAAAATTAGAAAGACAGAGTTCAGTGATTTTGTAAACACGAATCTGAAAAAGTTTTAAAAATATTGCTTTACTTAAGTCATCAGTTGTAAGAGAAGAACAAGTCTCATTTCCTAAGTGTACTTTTACAACTCATTCTCTGTTCTCAAATTTGTGAAATGGACTAATTTTCAAACACATCATCAACTCCTAAAACTAAGGAATAACTAAACTTTTCCCAAGTAAACTAAAACTAAATTGTCTTAATGAATAGGTCTAACAAGTCGGGCAAAAGAATACACGTGAAAACTGGATTTGACTGAAAACGTTATCCGAATTTTCTAGGTTGAAAACAGCCACCAAAACACTGCAAACTTAACGTCTAAAACGCAACAGTGATATCCGTTTCAAATTCATCACCTTCGAAATACTATTTCCTGTAAGCTTCATGTTTATCCACCATCAAACATTTGTGTTAGCTTTATTTTGCCGGACAGTTTACTTATCAATTGTACAAGGTTTGTCAATTAGAGCTAGGAAATGGGAATATAAACATTCCGATCCCATGTTAACCAATGCTCATGATGAATGTAGAATTGAACAGGCACTGTCTCCATCAATTAATTATGCAGACCGTCGCCAGTAATATTATGTTTCATCGCGTCCCGGAGAATTATTTTAAAACATGGTTTGAGCAATCGATAAATTGATTAGGAACCGACAACATGTGTTTCTATCATTGTCTGGGTTCTGAGGACGAAAGCGGTGACTTCTACTTTTAGCTTGCATGCAAAATGGTATTAAAACGGAGATTTCGTAACGTTCCCATGGCAATGGTTTTAAAATGTAAAAAACATGTTTGCACTTGCCAATATACTTACTCTTACTTACATTGCAGGCTCAACATAATTGAAATCGCAAACGTTGCTCATTATTCGGGATTAAATATATGTAATTTTATCAGGTCAGAAGCAGATGAGAGCTTGCTGAATATTTTGTCAAGTAGATTGGGTTCTTTAAGGCCGAACTGGCGGAAAACAATATAGATAAGCCAGTGTTAATCTCTCACTAATCACTCACTAATCACATGCATGCACATGCAATCATATGTAGAAGGGGTATGTCAATCAACAGTGCATTTGAGAACATGATTGATTGAGTGATTGAGCAAGTCGGCTGGGGGCTGAGAATACCACGTCCTCAAACAACTATACATCATAATTTCTTCAAATAATTTTGTCATGTTTTCGTTGAAATATGCCTAGAGCAGTTCCTATTTTAGTCTATG